AGGACAGAAGGCAGGAGACAACGTGTCTGTGACCTTTAATCCTCTCATACATGCAGAGCAATCCTTGGCCCGGCCGATGCAGATCACAAGTTTAAAGCTGATGAAATTCCCTGTAGCAAAAAAACCCAAACCACTCTATTGAAAGGCATCCAAAGGAGCAGCCCCGAGCTCTGGCTGCTGAGCTCTGCCTCCTGAGCAGCCGCGTGTGGTCCTGAATATCAATAGTGTGTGCAGGCTGGGGCCTGGGGAGCTGGCGATGAGGGGATAACCGGTGTCCTTGTCGTGCTGGTGTAATTAGGGTGTGACTAACAGCTTTATGGCTGCTCTTGACAATCTTCCAGCTGTTCAGCTTAACTCCTGCCTGCAAGGCAAGGCAGTCTCTGCTGCCTGCCAGACAGGCTCCCTGCCTGCCCACAGCATCCCTGAGAGGAAGTGGGCATGCAGAGGGAGACAGCTTTGCAGGGACTGAATTCCAGGATGAGGGGTTTGATGCCACAGCCCAACCCTTGAGGCAAACAAAGTGACTGGGAAATGGTCATGTTTGTGACAAGGAGGTGGTTTTACTTGTTGTCTGAAGGAGCTGACCTCATGTTTTCACCTGGAGAAAACATGCTTTTCCCGGTAGAGTGGGAGGAACAGCCTCAGCTTCAGGGCTGAGCACTGCTGGTTTGCCTCCTGGGGGGAGGAGAGGGGGGGCAGGAAAACAGGCTGCCTTTGAGAGGTGGAGACCGGCTCCTGTTTGGGTTTGTCACCCACCAGTGGAAGCTGGAGAGAAGCCCAGGCTGGAGCTGCCAGGCTGCCAGAGGAGCTGGGCTCTTCTGGGCAGCTTCTGTCAGCTTCAGGGGTCACAGCCACTCCAGAAGTGGGTCCAGAGCATCCCACGGCTCATGGGGATGGGACAAACATGGCCCAAAGAGGAACCTCTGCCCTAGACATTACCGGCATAAAAGCCCCATAATGGTGTTTACCACACCCCGTGTGGGTGGGTGGGGTCTAAAAATAGGGGATGAGCTGGCTTAGATGGTTTGGCTGTTGTGCCTGGGACAAGGTGTGACTGCCCAGCAGCTTCCAAAGTTCGGGATGGGAGGGGGAGTTGTTAATTTTATTTGGCTGCCATAAATCTGAGTGGTGAGGGGTGTGGGCTTGCTGCTGGCATTGGGCTCAGTGATGGGAAGGAGTTTCATGGCAGTTGCCCCCCCCTTCACAGGAGAGATCAAATCGAGTCCATCTGAAAGCCCCTTGATGGAGAAGAACGTTGGCCCAAAGGAGGAGCAAGAGGAGGCCAAGGTGCCCCTGGGCGATGCCAAGGGCCCTGTTGCCGATGTGGGGTTGGCCATGCCCACCCGGGCACCGGTGGAGGAGAGGATGGTCTCCTTCAACCTGGGGGAGCTGGAGGAGGCCCCGGAGCAGGAGAGGCTTCCCAGCCTCGACCTGAAGGAGACAAGCATTGACAGTGGTGAGTAGTGGGGGGCGATATGAATGGTGGGACTCCCCCCACCCTGGGCACCCCTGGGTGTTAACCCCCCCACCTGCTGTTCCCCCCTGGCAGGAGCTGTGCGGCTGCCCAATGGCAACCTGGTCCACCTCAGCCATGCAGTGGGCCACCAGCTGGGCTCAGGTGGGCAGTACCAGTACCACACCGTGCACAAGGACTCTGGCCTCTACAAGGAGCTGTTGCACAAGCTGCACCTGGCCAAGATGGGGGACTGCATGGGGGACTCGGGGGACAAGCCCCTGCGGCGCAATAACAGCTACACCTCCTACACCATGGCCATCTGCGGCATGCCCCTGGACTCGCTGCGTGCCAGGGATGGCGAGGAGGGGGAGAGGCTGAGCTGGTCTGTGGTGGACACTAAGAAGAGAGTCCGCATGGACAGCTACACCAGCTACTGCAATGCAGTGGCAGACACCCACCCAGCTGTAGATGTGGACCTGAACACGGCCCAGGCAGAGCTGGGTGTCAGTGACCGCAAGGGCAGCAGCAGCTCTCTGGAAGATTGGCATGACCAGGACAAGCCTGAGGTGTCCCTGCTCTTCCAGTTCCTGCAGATCCTCACGGCCTGCTTTGGCTCCTTTGCTCATGGTGGCAATGATGTCAGGTCAGTGGGGTCAGCGGGAGCTGAGGGGGCTGCTGGCTGGGGCTAGTACCCACAGAATCATGGAATCAGAATGGTTTGGGTTGGAAGGGAGCTTAAAGATCATCTTGTTTCAACCTCCCTGCTATGGGCAGGGACACCTTCCACTAGACCGGGTTGATCCAAGCCCTGTCCAGCCTGGCCTTGAACACTTCCAGGGATATTCCATCTTGCCAACAGCCTCTGGCCCTCTAGACCAGATCCTCTTTCTCTTCCAGCAATGCCATAGGGCCCCTGGTCGCACTCTACCTGGTCTATCAGACGGGCGATGTGGCTACCAAGGTGGCAACTCCCATCTGGCTGCTGCTCTATGGGGGTGCGGGGATTTGCATCGGCTTGTGGGTCTGGGGAAGGAGAGTCATCCAGACAATGGGGAAGGACCTGACTCCCATCACACCATCCAGGTAAGGGGTGCCGTGAAGCAGAGGGGAGGGTCCAGGCAGCCCCTCTCCCTTCTCTTTTAGGGGTTTCAATGGTGGAGCAGGGGCATGTGTGGCTCCAACACCTCCCTGCATCCTGGAGGGGGTTGGTCTGAGTGTCTGGAGAGCCAAGCCAGGGGCTGACACTGCTGTGCTGCCTTGAGCTGAGCCCACTGGGTGTTTTGGGGTGTCTGGTTCTGTTCTCATCTGCTTTCTGTCCCTGCAGTGGCTTCAGCATCGAGCTGGCATCGGCGCTGACGGTGGTGATTGCCTCCAATGTTGGCCTCCCCATCAGCACGACTCACTGCAAGGTAGGGGGTTGGCAGGGGAGATGGTGCTGGCTCAGTGTGAGCTCAGTGTCCCCAAAACTTAGTGCTGGTAGGGCCAAGCTGTGTGGGGGGTCCCGCTCTGGGCCTCCAGCCACTGTCAGCTCCTGGCTGTGCCGCTTGCATCTCAATGTGAGGCAGCAGCGGCTGCCTGGGCTGGGGGGGGCATCCCTGGCGCACTTGGAAGGTGATGGGAAAACAAAACGCCTTTCATGGTGCCCTGGGCTCTGCCAAGAGGCCATGGGAACCCAAGTGCTGCAGGGCCCTGTCCCTGTCACCCCTCTGGGGTGGCAGCTCCTTGCCCTGCACTCCCTGCCTGCACTCTGTGAGGTCCCTATAGGCTGGAGCAGGACCCAGGGCTGTGGGGTGAATGTCAGGTGAAGGTGTGCACATCAGGTGCACCCTCACTGCGGTGCTGAGCCATGCTCTGGCTCCTTTGGCAGGTGGGCTCAGTGGTCTCAGTGGGCTGGCTGCGCTCCAGGAAGGCAGTGGACTGGCGCCTCTTCCGCAACATCTTCATGGCCTGGTTTGTCACCGTCCCCATCTCCGGCCTCATTAGCGCTGCCATCATGGCCGTCTTCAAGTTTGCTGTCCTGTGAGGGCACCAGGGCTCCCACTGCTCCTGCTTCCCACTGCTGCCCTCCCTCCAGGAGCCACCGAAGCTGCCTGCTGTGGGGTGGGGCTCCCCCATGTCTGCCTAGTGCTGTCACTGAAGTATCTTTTTTAATATAAATGTCTTGGCGCTAACATTGTGGGGGGTGCACCACCGTGGCTGTACGTGCCCCCAGGTGGCCCCTCTGCTCCGCTGTAGCTGTAGATTAGCAGTTACTGCGGGCCACTTTCTCACTTCTAATGACTTTAATGAAGATCCTCCGGCAGTGATTCCTTGGGGGAAGGATGTAGGTTGGTCCTTGCCCTCCGTGTGAGGGGAGGGCTGGGGGGTGGTGAGGCACCCCCCTCACAGGCTGTGCTGTGTTCAGCTTTGCCTCCATTGCTGTAGTGGTGCAGACACCATCCTGCTCGGGGACACCATCCTGCGCGGGGGTCCTGGGGGCTGCCCTCTGGCCCCGTCACTGCTGCTACCTCGGACTCAATAAAGATTTCCTTCGTATGCCAGCAGTGCCTGTGGTTCTGGGGAGTGGGGCTGCTGGGGTGGGTGCTGCTTCATGGCCCTGCCTGCCTTGGCCTCGTGCCCCCGGAGCGAACTGGGAACGATGATAAGAGCCCCACGTGCCCTCTGTGTCATGGGATGGGCTGTAAACAGCCTCGCGGGGGGATTATCAGGGCCCAACACCTGGAGCAGCTCCTGTCCCTGTCACCAGCCCCACGGTGTGCGTGTGCCCCCTCCTCAGCCCGGGGCAACAACTGCTCCAATGCCCTCCTCCATGTGCCCGGGGACGCTCCCTCCTGCCTGGGTCAAGGCCGGTCCCGGGGACTCGCGTCAGCAGCCCCGGCGTGTCGCAAGAAGTGGGGGGAAAGGGCGGGGGGTGCTGAGGGATGGGGATGGGTCCGTGGGGGGACGCACGTGGGGTTCGGGAGGTGCCTTATGTGTTGCGTGGGGACGCGAGCCACGAAGCCCCGCGGACCGGGGGTCGTTTTGTCCCAGGGGACGTGGGTGTTCCCTCTTGTCCCGACCCCCCGGTGTGAGGCCGGGGCGCCCCTCGCGCCGGCCCCGCTCCCGCCCTCTGACGGGGCCGCGGCGCCCATCGGGGCGGCCTCGGGGCGGCAGCGGGGCCGGTCCCTGACCCCGGTTAATGATTCGCCACCGGTCGCTCCCCTCTGCCAGCGGCGTCTCTGAGCAAACACCGGCCCGGGGCTCCGAGAGCTCCGGGCCAGGGGGGCGGCGGGGGCAGCGCTGGGGGACACTGCTGGGGAGGGGGAGCCCCGTTTAAGGGTTGCGGGGGGCGCTGCCCTGTGTGCGGGGGCGCGCGTGGGGAGGTGTCACTGCCCCAGGGAGGGGGCATGGCAGAGTCACCGCCCCATTTGGGGTCACCACTCCGGGGTGCCCCGGGTTCGTCCCGGCTGTGCTGCCCGGGGGGGGCCGGGCCGGGGGCCGGGGCGGGGCGGTCCCGCGGGGCCCCCTTAAAGCGGCGGCGGCCGCAGGCGGTGGCCGCAGGCGGTGGCGATGGGCAGCGAGGGGGAGCGAGGCCCGGCGGCGGCCCCGAGCCCGGGGCAGGGCGACCCGCGGGCGCTGCGGAGGGACTGCCAGCACCGGTGGGCGGGAGGGGGCTGGGGGAGCGGGGGGCTGGGGGTGCAGCAGGACTTGGGGCTCCTTGGAGACAGTTGGGAGGGGACAGGTGGGGAGGGCACATGGTGGGGGGGGAGGCAAGACCCAAGGGAAGGGCACCGGGGTTCAGGCACGGGAGAGGAATCTTGGGGGAGTCAGGGGGGGGAGCGGAGCCCCTGGGGGTCACCCCACGTAGACATGTCAGGCGTGGGGGCAGGCCAAAACAGGGGCCCACAGTCCCCCCTCCTTGCGCAGCACGCATCCCCCTTCCCGCCCCCCCTCCCCTCCAGCTCCATTTCCATCTCAAAAGCCCATTTTTCTGCTCCAGTAAGTCACTATGGGGCCCTTGGGCTGGGACAGGCACACGACCCTCACAGAGCACTGACCAGGGACCGGGATGGGGGAACACATCCCCATCCCCTCCTTTGTGCCACCCCCAGCCCTAAACAACCCCCCTTCCCCATAACTCCTCCCCCCACCCGATTACCTCCAGGATCTTTGTCAACCGGAGCCTGGCGCTGGAGAAGATCAAGTGCTTTGGCTTTGACATGGACTACACCTTGGCCAGTGCGTTTTTGGGGAACCTAAGACAGGGTGGGCCAGTGGTGGGAGCCCTCCCCGAGCCCCTGTCCACATCCCTTCTGACTCCCTACAGTGTACAAGTCCCCCGACTACGAGGAGCTGGCTTTTGCCCTGTTACTGGAGCACCTTGTCGCCATTGGGTACCCCCCCGAGATCCTTGCCTACAAATATGACCCCACATTCCCCACTCGGTGAGTTTGGGGAGGGGGTCCTGGGGAAGGGTGGTGAGATCCCCACCCGCTGACAGCTGTGTGTTGCAGGGGGCTGGTGTTCGATGCCCTGTATGGGAACCTGTTGAAGGTGGATTCCCACGGGAACCTGCTAGTCTGTGCCCATGGCTTCCGCTTCCTCAAGGGGTGAGTCTGGAAATCCCCCGCCTCAGGGGCAGGGGGGAACAGGGGCACCCTTGGAGTGGGGTGCAGCTCCATGCTTCCTCCCCAGAGCCGAAATCCTCCACTATTACCCCAATAAGTTCATCCAGCGGGATGACATGAAGCGCTTCCACATCCTCAACACCCTCTTCAACCTCACGGGTGAGTGACAACCCCTGTCTCCCTCACACCCCCACCACCTTGGACTGCTGTCCTATCCTGCACCCCCTCTCACATATCCCTCCCACACAGAGGCCCACCTCTATGCCTGTCTTGTGGACTTCTTCACCAACTGCTCCAGATACGTGAAGTAAGAGGGAGGCGATGGGTGGGGGCTTGCTGGTGGATCAGATGGCAGGGGGTAATCTTGCAGAGGAGCTTCACTTGGCAGGGCAGCCCCTTCACCCCCTCCATTTCTGATTGTTGCAGCTGCGATACCGGCTACAAACACGGGAACCTCTTCATGTCCTTCCGAAGCATGTTCCAGGATGTGCGCGAGGCCATGGACCACGTCCACCTCTCTGTGGGTGCAGAGGGCAGGGGGCTGGTGGGAGGGTGGTTCTGGGAGTGCTGGAGATTCCCCACACACACACCTGGGAGGTTTTGGCCAGCCCCCTCCCTTCATCCACTCTGCAGGGCTGCCTGAAGGAGAAGACGCTGGAGAACCTGGAGAAATATGTGGTGAAAGACGTATGTGCAGATCCTCATGGACCCCTCCCTACCCTGCTCCCCTTTGCCAGTTCCCCTTGGTCCCCCTAAGCCCACTCCATGCTGACTTGCCCCTCACCAGCCCCGTGTGCCACTGCTGCTGAGCCGCATGAAGGAGGTGGGGAAGGTCTTCCTGGCCACCAACAGTGACTATACATACACGGATGTGAGTAAGGGGTGTCCATGTGCTCCCCCTGCCAGGTCCAGCTTGCCCTGGATGGGGGTGGCAGAGGGGAGGGTGTCAAAGCGCAGTCAGTGTCTGCCTTCCCTGGGGATGGGTGACAGTGCCGGATGTCCTTGCAGGCCATCATGTCCTACCTGTTTGACTTCAGAGATGGGGACAAGGTGAGTCTGTCCCCAGTGTGGGCAGAGTGGGGGGCTCAGGGTGCCATCAGCAGCCTCTTGCTGACCCCCCCTCCCTGGCATCCACAGGCGGACACCCCACAGCGCCCCTGGAGGTCTTATTTTGACCTGATTGTGGTGGACACCCGCAAGCCCCTCTTCTTCGCTGAGGGCACCGTCCTGCGCCAAGTCGACACGGTGGGGACCCCTCCCCTGTTGTGGGGCCAGTTGGGGCAGTGGGCACTATTTGAGCACTATGGGGGCTCCTGTGGGCAGAGCAGGGTAGATTCACCATTGGGTGGGCACCAAGCGGAAGCAGATAATGGTGTTCCTATCCCGGGGTCCTCTCGTCCCGTAGGACACAGGGAAGCTGCGCATTGGGACGTACACCGGCCCCCTCCAGCACTGCGCCGTCTACTCTGGCGGTAAGTGCTAGGCCAGGCTCCAGTCAGGGGGGACATGCCCATGCCCCCGCCCTGACCCTTGGCTGTCACAGGCTCCTCAGATGTGGTGTGTGACCTCCTGGGCGTGAAAGGCAAAGACATCCTTTACATGGGGGACCACATCTTTGGGGACATTCTGAAGTCCAAGAAGCGGCAGGGTTGGCGCACCTTCCTGGTGGTGCCTGAGCTGGCCCGTGAGCTGCAGGTCTGGACAGAGAAGAGCGGTGAGCAGTGCCTAGCTGGGGACACGGACCCTGCCCTGCTGGTGGACGTGGCCTGGAGCCTCCTATGCCTCTCGATGGCAAAACCGCCCCAGTGGGCTGTGCCCTGACCCTCTGTGTCAGTCATGCTGGGCAGTGGGGGATGTTCCTGCACTGAGCCAGCCACATTGACCTTGCAGAGCTGTTCGAGGAGCTGCGGAGCCTCGATCTCTTCCTGGCTGAGCTGTACCAGTGAGTGGGTGAGGGGAGTAGGGAGGGGTGGGAACACCTGCAGGGGATCTCCCAGGTGAGCCTCCGGCCGGATCTGTCCCATTCCAGGCACTTGGACAGCGGCAGCAGCGAGCGCCCAGACATTAGCTCCATCAAGCGTCGGATCCAGGTGACACCCAGGACACCATCCCAGCTGGCACACAACTCAGCCCCACTCCCCTCCAATGACTTCCCCCTTGGGCACCCTGGGGGGCATTGGGTGCCCTGACTGTCTTGCTGCACCCCTAGAAAGTCACACATGAGATGGACATGTGCTACGGGAAGATGGGCAGCCTCTTCCGCTGCGGCTCACGCCAGACGCTCTTCGCCAACCAGTTGATGCGCTACGCAGACCTCTATGCTGCCTCCTTCATCAACTTCCTCTACTACCCCTTCAGCTACCTCTTCCGGGCACCCCCTGTCCTGGTACGCAGCCCCCAACCCCCCCCTGCTCACCCACTGTGCCTCGGTTTCCCTCTCTACCTGAGAGGGACATGGGGCTGATGGAAGCATTGGGTGGGCACCCAACCCAGCCTGCGCTAGACTCTCTCTGGGAGCCTTGTCCCCCCTGCAGATGGCACATGAGTCAACGGTGGAGCACACTCGGCTGGACTCGGGGGAGGTTGGCACAGCCCTGCCCCCCTGGCTGGCCCGGCATAGCCACCCTGGCCAGCAGGTGGGTGGCAGGGAACAGAGAGGCAGAAGGACATGGGTGTCCTGCCACGCTGATGCCCATGGGGTCCTGTGCCCACTGAGCCCTCTCACTGTCTCAGGTCCCCCAAGACTCCAGCGGGGAGGAGGAGGATGATGGAGAAGCCTGAGCCCACCCCAGCACCAATGGCTGCTGCTCTGGCAGGTGCCAGCCCCACAGGAGGGCATTTGGTGGCCCTGGACCACTTGCACTGCCAGACCGAAGCCACCCATGGTCAGCCGCCACCTTTGGTGGCCACAGGATGATTGGTGGCCCTGACCATGGCCCCCATCACACCTGTCCTTAGGCTGTGGGGTCCTTCTCCCAACTGTGCCTGGAGCCAGGAGAGGGCCCCCCCCCCAATTCTGCTGGCTGCCCTGTGCCCCCACTTTAACTAACATCCTTCCTGCCAGCTCAACGGCAGCCTGGGGCCACCCAATGCCAGGGTGAGCGGGCAGTGTTGCTGCTCCAGTATCACCGGAGGCCTGCTGCACCAGTCAGGGCCCCTGCAGCTCCTGTCCCTCCAGCCTCTCCACTGTGGCCCTGGGTGGAGCAGGGGGAGGCTCTGGAGGTGGCAGCTGCTCTGTGGGAACCCCCTTCACCTGCTGTTCCCCTCTTCTGTTTGCTACCCTTTTCTATTTATAAAAGATACTCAAACTCCTGGCACCACAGAGACATAAAATTGGCTGTTTTAAAGGAAAACTGCTTTGTCCCTGCACCTGGGAGGTGGGGGCAAAGGGCAATTCCCAGCAGCTGGGACAAGCACAAGCCACTGGGCAGAAGGTGGCAGCCCCGGGTCACCTCTCCTCTGCAGAGAAGGGAACTAGGCCAGCGGTGCTCCCCAGAGTGGAGCCAAGCCCCATGCCAGATGCCAGGACACTGCTCCAAGACTTCTTCCGGCATCCAGGACTCAGCAGAGATGCTGAGCCAAGACCGAGGGTGGGTGTGTCGGGAGGGAAAGAGGAGGCAAAAGCGTGGGATGGGGTCAGGACCATTGCTTACTGGGGTTGGGCAGGTGACAGTGGGGCTCCCCCCACCCTCTACAGCAGCTGTACGGTCACTGCTTGCAGCAGGGACCCCTTACCCACCCCAGAGCCAACCCCTCGCCTGGTACCTTGTGCCACGGCCTGCTCCAGCTGCAAGGACAGCACCAGAGGGGCCCCGAGTGCACATACAGGGCTCATCTGCACTCACTGGCCCATCCTGGACCCCAACCATGCCCAGGAGTTTGGGGGCCTGGCCTGCTGCACCCCAAGGTCCTCTGCACCACTTTGGGTGCTGCTGTCAGCCTGCACAGAAGCTGCTGGAGTGTTGCAGGTCTCCCAACCCCTCAGGCAGAGCTAGTACTTCTGCCCGTGCCTCTGGACACTGGGGCTGCACGTGCCTCTCAGCAGGGACATCCAGATGCTGTCCAGGTATGGCACAAGGCAGCTCCAGAGCAAATCCTTTGGGACATCACTTCTAAAACACTGAGAGGTGCTTGGAATGTTGCAGAATGGCTGATACCATCCTACAGCAGGAAAATTAGGCAGAGGAGCTGAGGACAGTCCTGGGGAATGCAGTCTTCCACACTGCTCACTAGGCCACACACATCTCTACTGCAAGTCTTTAATATATTTAAAACAGCACTTAGATATTTCAAACAAGCTTATTCTGTGCCACTCCCCCACGCTTACACCCAAGGGGCAGCAAGAGAAGCCAGTGGAGTGTGTGCGAGGCAGCACAGGGGGCAGGTGGACTGGCTCCACCAGGAACCCCTTAGCAGCTCTCAGGGGTACATGAACTCAAACCCTCCAGCCCCGTCACCTCTGGCAAAGCCTTGTTTTTCTGGAAGATGAACTGAGTCTCCTCTTCAGCATCCAGGATTTCACTGAGGGATGACACCACAGGGTCATGGTCCTTCAGCATCTCTGGGTAGTGGCTCCCAGCCCGCTCAACCCGCAACGAGCGCCGCACGGGCGTCAGGAATTTCAATTCCGGGCCTTTCGGTAACTCCCTTCCTCTGTGGAGAGGACAAGAGCCTTGGGTAAACCCTGTGGAGGAGCACTGGCATGGAGGGTGCATGTTGCCAGGAGCAGGGGGTTCAGCCTTACCTGGATGCAGATGTGACCCGTAACTTGACTGAGAGAGGTAGGGAGGTCAGGGGCCTCCCCACTGGGCCTGGAGTCGATGCTACGGGCTCCCTCTCACCTGGACAAGGTGTTGTAGGCTCCCAAGGAATGGGTTGCTCAGCCTTTTCCCCTGGCAAGAGAGGAAAAGGGCAATGCAGTTGCAGAGAGTGCCAGCTGGGGAGGAATTACACTGTGGTGTTTCGGACACAGGCCTGGCTGTGGAGGTGTGCCGGGGCCAGGACCCTCCCCAGCCCTGGCAGAGGAACATTGCCCCATTATTGGGATCAGGATTCCAGACTTTCAAAACACTCAATCTCCATCAAAGTCAAGAGGGACACGGGGTGCTGGGACAGACTGCAGAACGTGCTGTTTCCCAGATGGCAGCAGCAGGGAGCCTTGGTCTGCCCACACTCCAGACGGCTCCCCTATGTTCAGGTTACCTTCTGATGTGTGGCCTGCAGCCTTCAAAATATCAAGAACATCCCTGAGCTCCTGGAGTGGCTGCAGGAAAAGCAGAACATGGGTCAGGGCAGGTCTGGCATGGCAATGGAGACCAGTTATAGCTGAATAGGAGGAAAGGCTTTTGCTGCATCACAACACCCCATGCTGAGGACAGCAGGAAGAGGCTGCAGGATTCCCCTTCTCCCAGTGGGATAAGTCAGCACCCAGCACAGCTGAGCAGGTGCCCACCCTGCCCATGGAACAGGACCAGCAGCTCTAAAGGGCTTTTTCACCACTCATTAGTGCTGCTAAGCTCATCCCAAAATCCAGCCCCCCAGGATCTCGAGGAAGCCCACCCATTCTGAGGCAGGGACCATAGGGAGCTGGTGAGCCCCACGCACCTGAGCGCCTGCGCAGACTGCTGCTCTGTACAGCCCCATCACATCAAAGGGGCCACTCCGGGCCAGCAGCTTTGCTTGGCAGATCCAGAATTTGGCAAATTTCTCTGCCTGGGGCACAACAGACAGCACTTTTGAGAGCTCCTCTGCATGGACATCCTGCAAGGAGAAGGGCAAGGACCTGGAGAAAGGTGTCCATGGCGAGGACAAGGGTGTGCAGCGGGGAGCTGTCAGTACCTGACCGTGCTTCCAGCACTCTTCAGGAGAAAGAAGGTCTCAGGAGTCTGGGTTTACAAGTCTCCTACATAACAATGGGCAGATAAAAGCTGTCCTGCCTCTATCTTCCCCTTGAATAAATGAGTCTAGTACTCCAAAGAGCTGTCAAGAGATACACTCCAGTGCTGGCATTATTGGAGCCACTAAATCCTGGAGCAGGGCTAGCAGTCAGTGTTCCCAGCAGTGGTCCCCCTCTAGAGCCATACCTCAGACCGTGACACCAACAGGGATCTACTTCAAGTTGGTTCAATCAGCCTGGGTTTCTGTTGCAGACATTGCTCTTGCAGACTACACTGCCAGTTTCCAGAACACCGTCAATGACACAAGTGAGTCCCACACTGCTTTTGGCTGGGGTAGAGTTAATTTCCTTCCCAGTGGTTGGTATGAGGCTGTGTTTGGGATCTGTGCTGAACACAGTGATGATAAAGATGTTTTTGTTATTGCTGAGCAGGCCTTACAGAGAGCCAAGGCCTTTTCTGTTTTCTCATACTGCCTCGCTGGGGAGCGTGCTCAGGGTGCATGGGAGATTGGGAAGAGATACAGCTGGGACAGGTGACCCAAACTAACCAAAGGGATATTCCAGACGATATGTTCAGTATATAAAGTGGGGGGACATTTGGAGCGATGTTGTCTGTCTTCCCAAGTCCCCATTACATGTGATGGGGCCCTGCTCTCCTGGAGGTGTCTGAATCTGCCCATGGGAAGAAGGGAATAAATTCCTTGTTTCGCTTTGCTTGTGTGCATGGCTTTCACTTTCCCTGTTAAACTGTCTTTATCTCAATCCACAAGTTCTGTAACTTTTACCCTTATGATTCTCTTTCTGATCCCACTGGTGGGGGAATGAGTGAGTGGCTGTGAGGGGCTTGGCTGCTGGCTGGGGTTAAACCACAACAGTCCCTTTTGATGGGGGTACTTCTCCGTTTTCCCTGTCAGTGTAGCTCACCATGTGCCTTTGACCTACCCATAACTCCATGAGGACTTTTATCTTCCCTACCCATGTTTCCCTTCTGGCAACTGAACGCTTGCTCCCAACCCCCCTGTGCTGTGAAGGTACATGGTCTGCATCCCCTGGGATGCTCCAGGGGAGGAGGAGCCTGTTCAAGCAGCCCCTTTCCCATTCCCACCTCCTCAACAAACTTCAGGCACTCAGTCAATATGTTGTTGATCTTCACCAGGCAGCGCTGCTCTGGATTCTCTTGCTTCTCTTTTGCCTTGACCTTTCTGCAGGGCGGCTTCACTGCCTGCTTCTGAAGCAGCGTCATCGGCGGCCGCTTGTATTTCTTGCCTTTCGATGCCAACCACTCCTCCAGCTGTTTCCTGTCCAAGGACCAAAGTATCACCTTGGTTACCACCCCAGCAGGCAGCCAGCTCTTGCCAAGATACTGTTTTTTTAATAGAATCCCCAGTTAGCTGACTTCAGCTGCTCAGGAAGAACTGGTACATTTATCCCAAAAACACATCTGAGCTCTAGACTGGGAAAGGAAAACCCTCACAAGTGTAAGCCTTGAGGCTAAAAAAGAATGGCCACACACTTTCCTCCCACTCACTGAATTGGTGGGAGAGGAACTCAGGGCCCCACCCAACATCTTTCCCAACTCTCTCTTTTCCGGGGCATCAACCTCCCAACAAGCCTTCACTGATAGAAACTTCAGATCCCATTTTCAGCAGGATGGTGCTGGCTCACCCAGTCAAACCCTTATACTCTGCTGTTCCCTGGAAGCAAGACCCAGGTGGCCAACGCTGCCACTTACTTACGATCCGCAGCTGACGGGATCCTTGGAACACGCCCATACTGCACAATTGCCTTCGGCAGCTCCGGCTTAAGCTGATCTTTCCTACTCCTCAAATCACCCTCAAGTGCATGAATTTTGGAGCAGTGTGAGCTGGGAGCCTGGTTTGCATGGTCTATCCCTTGGGATGTTGCTGTGTGTCTGGGATGCACCACGTTCGTGTCCTTCCTGTCCATCCCCCCTTTAATCATGGGCCTTGGCCGTGGCATAGTGCCACCTCGGTTCAGGCTGGATTTCAGGTTTGTTGTCCCCTGGGGCCTGCCTGAGGCCAGAGGCTTAGTGGGAGAACTTCTCATTGGGGGAGGTCGGAACCGGTGCTTAAAAACTCCCACTGGAGCTGTGCCAGGTGGCTTTCCCACAGGTTGCCTCACTGTAGTAGTTTTTTCCTGGTTTGTCCCTGGGTTTTTATGTAGCAAATTAGCAGAAGCAGGAAGGTACCTAGGGGGCTGCAATGGCTGAGTTCTGACACTTGTTTTTTGAGACACGCTCTTTGAGCTTGGCAGGATTTTCCTGAATTTATCTGGAACTGGGTCTTTCTTAGCCTGGCAGTTATTAATTTTGTCCTCTGGGCCCACAACGGGCTGAGGTTGCCTGTAAGCCAAGACTCTCTTCTTCCCAAGACTGCTTCCATCAAATTGGAAATCTCTGTTTAGCTCTGGGAGTGTGGAGGCTCGTGGGCTGAAGTTTTCCTTGTGGCAGACCAGCCCATCCTGCAGCTCCTCATTCAGGGACCAAGGCGCTCCAGGAGGGGAGTGGTCACTTCCCACATGAAGTGCTGCAGCGGTGACAGCGTCCTGTGCAGACTTCTGCTTCCTTTCTGGATTTAGGTGACCAGAGCCTGGAGGTGGGAGCCTGCCTCTGGTCTGTGCAGAAGCAGGAAGCTTTGTGCTCTTCCCTGGCTGCACTGGATGCACCCCTACTGCTCTCTGGGATGTGCTTGAAGGCTTCTGCTGACTAGCGGGGCCAGTGTGCTGTGTGGATTTGGCACTAAGCTTGCCATCCTCCTGAGCACTCTTCATCACATTTCTGAGAACATCCTTCTTGTTCCTGTCAACCTGGAGAGACAAAGCAGCCCTCAGCTCCAAGGAGAGCTCAGCTTGGTCAGACCCTGACAGCTGGCCCAGGGGGACAGCCATGTGAAGGCCTGTGGTGACAAAGCAGTTGTCAACAGAACAGTAACGTAGCACCCACCAGGACGTGGGCGAAGGATCAGTCTTCCAAATTGAAACTCCTAACTAAACTAAACTAAGCTCCTCTGAAAAAATAAGTAGTTGACTCATTGCCAGCTATTTAGCAATCTGTTGAGTGTCCTCATTTGGAGTCAGGAACTCATGACCCTGACTTGGGGATGTGGTTTGCAAAGAAAGTTACTGACCCAAATTGCAGCAAGGATGAAAAATTATTATGACTAAAGCCCACTCTCTTGTGACCCTATAAATAGAGGTCCTCAGTGA